CTAAAGATTAAAATTTTTCTCTTTTTTTTCCTTTCAGTATTACTTTCAACATATACAAGGGGGACCCAGAAAAATCTGAAATTGTCTTTTGGAGGGCAGACCCCTTGTGGCACAGGCTTTCTCTGCTAAATAAGTGTTCTAGGAACCCATCAGCATCAGTGTACCAACTAGCGTTGTTGTGAGAGCCTGCATTCAGCTTCAGTGAATTTTTTTAGGAGATTCTTTCAACACATTTGCCTATTTCATGACAGGTGATTTACAAGCACACCATACTGAGTGTCCAGCGGTTTTTTAACCAAAAATGGCATGACCATGATCCCATGCCCCACCCTCCCTATTTACCCAAACTCACCCTGAGTGACTTTTTGTTTGTTTGTTTCCCCAATGAAAAAAAGTCCTCAGAGGGAAACATTTTGCCAATGTGGAAACAAAAAACAGCAGAAGCACTAAAAGGCATCAGAATTTACCAGTTCAAAAACTGTTTTGAGCAGTGGAAAAAGCATCTCAATAGGTGTATTGCATCAAACAGAATTCTTTCAAAGTGACTGAAGTTTAAATATGTAAGAATAAATACACAATTTTTAATAAATAAATTCCAGGGTTTTTTGAGTGCCCCTCCCATACCTGATATTCTGTGGTACAAAATATGCCAGAGATGTCAACACTAGGGAGGTAGTGAGTGGAGGGTGGGGAAGGTTGTGGAATAAGGAATACATACCTCAATTCTTCAACAAAAAGGACACGAAAGTAAACTATACTTCAAGAAAAAGCAGCACAGATTTTTGGAAGTGAAGTCATAATGCCCTGAGAAAGTTCATTTACTTCCCAAGGATAAGGATTTGTTGATTTCACCAGAAAGACATTTTTGCCCTAAGATTAAATCAAATAGAAGCAAAAGAGCTCTCTGCACGAAGAAAGAGCCTCTTGGGTCACTTAAGGTCCTGTGCCTTTCAGACATAAACAACTCTTTTCCAATTATTCAAGCTATAATTTTCATTTAGGAAATATATCAAATAAGTTACCAGATACTAGAAGCTTGACATCAACTAAATCTTCCTTTCTTATCAGGATGTGGGGCCAATACTACTGACTGGCTAACCCTACCCCTCCTCCTTTGTTATATCATCTTTTGTTTGGGGTTGAATTGGATCCCCCAAAAGGAGCTATATTGAAACTCCCCAGTACCTCAGAATGTGATCTTATTTGAAAATTGGGTCTTTACAGTGGTAATAAAGTAAAAATGAGGTCATTAAGTGAGCCCTAATCCAATATGACTGGTGCCTTATAAGAGGAAAAATCAGCCAGGCGCAGTGGCTCACACCTGTAATCCCAGCACTCTAGGAGTCCAGGGCGGGAGGATCGCTTGAGCCAAGGAGTTCAAGACCAGCCTGGACAACATGGCAAAACCTCATCACTACAAAAAATATAAAAATTAGTCAGACGTGGTAGCATACGCCTATAGTACCTGCTACTTGGGAGGCTGAGATGGAAGGATCGCCTGAGCCCAGGAGGTTCGAAGCTGCAGTGAGCTGTGATCATGCCACTGCACTCCAGCCTGGTTGACAAAGACATCAAGTCAAAAAAAAAGGAAAAATTTGGACACAAACACAGCTATGTACAGGAGGAAGATGCTATGGAGACATGAGGAGGGCGCCATTCAAAAACCAAGGAATGCCTGAGGCTACCAGATGCCAGGAGTCAGGCATGGAACAGACACCACCTCACAGCCCTCAGAAGGAACCAGCCCTGCCAACACCTTGATTTGGGACTTCTGATCCCCAGAACTGTAGAAAAGCAATTTACTTTGTGTGAACCACTCAGCCTGTGGTATTTCTGTTACAGCAGCCCTAGAAAAACCAACACAACTAGAGAGGTCACTCCCCCAGAGGCCCTTTCAGCCAGGCGTGACCATGTAACATAATTCTGAACAAGGAAATGTCCAAAATAAAAGTCTGCTGGGGCTTCTGGGGAAACGATTGCTCCAGCAGATAGAAGAAGGATAAGAATTAAGAACAGATAGGGAAAATGACGATTGGGCTCTGAGATCAGAAAGGCGAAGAGGGCTGGCCAGGCACAGTGGCTCACACTTATAATCCCAGCACGTTGGGAGGCTGACGCTGGAGGACTGCTTGAGCCCAGGAGTTCACGACCAGTCTAGGCAACACAGCAAAACCTCATTTCTATAAAATATATATATATATCAAAAAATTAGCCAGGCATAGTGGTGCACACCTGTAGTCCCAGCTAATTGGGAGGCTGAGGTGGGAGGATTACTTGAACCCAAGAGGTCAAGGCTACAGTGAGCTGAGATTGTGCCACTGGACTCCAGCCTGGGCAACAGAGTAAGATCCCCCAACTTGAAAGGAAAGAAGGAAGGGAGGAAGGAGGGAGAGAGGGAGAGAGGGGAGGGAGGGTGTTGTAGGATACATCTCAGGTCCTTTACAGCATCCGGCTGGGTGCACACGGCTTCCACAGAACCTCCCTACTAGGAAACATCCCATGGAGGAAATGAAGCCTTAGGTGTGCCTAAAACAGAACAAAGAGTGTCTAGAGAGAGGTTTGAGAGCGTATACTAACTTGTCTTTTACTTAGGAAATGACATAGAAATTGGGCATGGTCACATCCTCTCTATACATAATCAATTTCCAACTAGATAATTAGCCAGTGACGAGATACCTAAAAGTACAGGGGGCAGGGGTGAATTTGCCTTAAAATTCTAAAATGGAATATGAAAATGTTGCCATTTTCTATCATTGCATAAGAAGCCATCATTTCATAACCACCTGCGATGGTGTCCTGAAATGTCAAGGCTAAATAACATCTAAATATCCATTTAAAATCCCCAGGAACCTGGCAGAATTCCTCTAAGACAGTGCTTTTCACCTGGGGCAATTTTGATCCCCCCCCCCAGGAATCATTCGGCAATGTCTGGAGACACCTGCGGTTATCACAAACTGGGGAGGGGGGTGCTACTGATAACTAGAGGGTAGGGACCAGGGACACTGCTGAACATCCCACAGTGCACAGGACGATCCCCCACAGCAAACGATTAGCAAGTCCAAAATGTCAATAGTGGTAAGGCTGAGAAACCTCGCTCTGAGATACAGTAAAGTTTTTTTAAAAGACTGAATACTGCCAGAAGCAGAAACACAAGGAACAAGTAGAAATGACTTTTTAAAAAAAAAAAAAGTGTGGGCAGTGTCCTGAATTCTACTGAGAATTGCAAATAAAGGAAAGAAAAAATGGAGAGCAAAGAAGTAAACAAGAGAAGTGCCGTTCAGTTTGTAGGAATCGGCATGCAGCGGAGAATTGGCCGGGCCAAGCCCGAACCCGCCGCTGGGCCTCTACATCGGTATTACTCAGTCGACTATGCGTGTAGCCATGGCAGCTGGCATGGGGGCGCA